AGAAATCTAAAAACCACAATCTCCTTATAGAGACAAGATAAACAAATTATTTCCTAAATTATTGGAATCAATAAAGTGCGTACGTACGTACGTACATAAACAAAATATTTTTATTCATCAACACGGCTCAGTTTTCCAAAATCATAATGGGTTTGATCTTCGCTGAGAGCTATAAATACTTTATTGAAAGCGATAATTTAAGAAATGCTTTGATTTCAAATGAACTACTTAATTATACCTACTTAATTATACTTAATTATACGTTATATTAACTCTGGGGAGATTGCATAATCAAGTAGCACATTGAAATTAAATTATTAACTTCCATAAAGTTGAAATCAAATATTAAATTATCAACTTCAATAAAGTATTTATGTACGCACTTTATTGATGCTAACAATTTAGGAAATACCTTGTTTATACGTACTTGTCTCTATAACAGATAAGGAGATTCGTATCGTACGTACGTACGTACGTACACTCCTAGAGATGTGCCGTGTACAGTATATCCTTATAAAAAAAGTCGATCCGTGTTTTATATTTATATTCACGGAATTTATAATTTTAGAAATAACGGAAATACTCGGGAATTTTTTTTATAAATTTAGGCTTATTATTTATTATTTACTATACTCAGCCTTGCTTAGAAAAATATACGATACACATGTAAACTTAATTACGTGTAACATATGTGTATTGCTAGGGCTGATTACAATAAATAATGTCACCAACATAAAACAACAACCCTAGCGTCGCTCAGAAAAAATAGTAGCCGGATTGGATAAAATATAAATTTATTATTTTTTTTTAAAGCATTTCTAATTGCCGCCGGCGGTGATCATCACCGGTATCACGTAATCATAGTAATACTACAAAATTTATTTACTAATGCAAAATATAATACAATATCTAAAGAGAAAAATAGATTGTACACGTAAAGTAAATAATGTGATGGTTATTACTGATCATTAATAAATCTAAAATCTATTGTATAAACCTAATCTACCAAAATATACGTATTAAAAGAACCGACCATATTTAAGCACTAATCCCAGATCCTAAAGCTACCCATGCAATAAGAGACTTCTAATAATGATTCTATAATATGTAAGCCCAAAATTATTTACCGATAGTAACTTGAAATCTAAATACATCTAGAAAATGAGAAATAAGAGTATTAGTGAATAAAAACATAAAAACATATTCAAAATTCAAGTAATAAAAACCAGAATACATATAAACTCTTGATCGCAACAACATTATATGGGGTCTTTGCATTGAAAATCACCTTCCGACATTTCCGATCGGGTTAATTCGGACAAAAATAAACCCGAGTACCGGTTCATGTTCATATGTTAATCATTTTTTAACTTTATTGATTCAATAGTTTATTGAATAACTATTGAATCAATAAAAGTAAAAGATGATTAGCATATGAACATGAACCGGTACTTGGGTTTATGTTTATCCGAATTAGCCCGATCGGAAATGTCGGAAGGTGATTTTCAAGGCAAAGACCCCATATATAGTATATCTTAATGCTTAAACTGAGTTAATTTATACCTTAAGTGAAGCCTATTACATTATAATGCTAGATACATTTTACATCTTAATTAAAACCATCTTACTCTAGCCTGTACATTTGTATAATCGCCTTCGGTATAGTTCTGTACAAGACTCTTAGAAACATACATATATATGTATATATGTACAATTAAGAGTATATAGCAAATATGTATAGTATATATGGTAGAAATTAAGATAGTATGTGAATTCATAAAAAAATTCTTTATTTTACCTATAGTCTATATTTACTCTAACATGAAAAAAAGGGCAAGGTTAGCACTCATTCTAACCCTAATTATTTAAAGAGGTTCACTTATAAAAGATAAATTTTATAAGTTTGGTTAACTATATATACTTTCGTGATTTTTTTTAGTTTACAACTATACAATTGTATCCGTTGCTTATGTGCCCGCTGCTTATATACAATTGCAATTCACAATTAAAGCTTTGCTCTACAAGTATACAGCCTATACTACTATATAGTACTATATACTTTATTAAGTAGTACATACGTATGTATGTATATCAGATAAAACAACAGGTAAAAGAAACCTTAAAACGAACTTTTTTCTCTTATCTTTTACTAACAAACCTTTATAAAAAAGTTTTAATTATTATATGGAAGCATCTTCTTGCATATTCTATATAATAGTATTTATAAATTCATAAGCTTCTATGAAAAATTTTGTTGATAATATTTTTTCTTGTTTCGAGCATTATGTCCAAGACCACCACAAATTCTGCATCTATATTTATTTACTACACCCTTCTCTTGTACTTGACTATTATTTAAAGCTTCAGTATCTTGATCAGCCTTGATATAAGCATTGCTAAATTTCTTGAATATAGATCTATTTGATTGCATATTTTTATCTAATGGTATTAATGCCCGTTCTTTCTTTTTGCTTATTGTGCTATTACATTCTGTAGATGATTTTAACCACTTGGGAGGTCTTCTTTTTTTCAAACTACAAATGGATCAGTTACTTGAATAAGAATATAGGAATTATCAACACTCTGATTTTCTGCATTATCGTTATGATTTTTGATATTATTGTTGGTATTGCCTACAGAATAATTG